GTCCTAGGGCTTGAACTCTGGGCTCAAGGCTCAGGGCTCTTTCCCTAACCTTCTTTGCTCAAGAATAATACTACTACTTAAGCTTTTTGTTTTTTTGCTCAAGCCTAGCACTCTACCACTTGAGCCATACCTCCACTCCCAGCTAGAAGTATGTGGCTTCAGCATTTTTGGTGGTTAATGGAGATAAGAATCTCATGGACTTTCCTGCTAGGGCTGGCTTTGACCTATGATTCCTCAGAACACAGCCTCCTGAGTAGTAGTATTACAGGTGTAAGCCACCAGCACCCAGATAAGTGTGTGTGTGTGTGTGTGTGTGTGTGTGTGTGTGTGTATGTGTGTGTGTGTGTGTGTTTAATGTAGTAGATTCTATCCAAATACAAGCACTAAAATGATGTGGTTTATATTTCTTTGGGGAGGGGTCATGGTGGAGCTGGGGTTTGAACTCATGGCGTTGCATTTGACAGGCTGGTGCTCTATCACTTGACCGATGCCTCCAGCCCTTTTTGCTTTCATTATTTTTCAGATAGGGTTTCACTATTACCTGGGCTGGCCTGGATCACAGTCCTCCTATTTCTTCTCACTGTATAGCTGGGATGATAGGTGGGTATTGGTTAAGATGGGGAATGGGGTGTTGTGAAGTTTTTACCCAGGCTAGCCTCAAACCATAATCCTTGGATTCTCTGCTTCCTAAGTAGTTGGGAGTATAGGTGTAAGCCACTGCACACAGCTGTATGTGTGTTCTGTAGGAAATGATAGAGTAACAGCCCTTGCCTGCTTATCCCAAGTGGATAAGACTCATGGAGAGTTTTGATTACAGATTACTGGTAAAAGCATTAGTTTATCTATCATTTGCCAGTTTTCAAATGAAACAAGATGTAAAGGACATGTAGATAGCTAAGCTCTGTAGTGATTCAATTTGTATTTGTCTGTGAGTGCCAGGACTTGGACTTGAACTCAGGGCCTTGTGTTTTCACCCAGCTTTTTAGCTCTTGGCAGGAGCTCTATCACTTGACCCACACCTCTAGTTTGGTAACTGAACCTCAAAATACCACAGTCTCAGTAGTTCCAGGGTCATTGATGGGGATTAATTTATTTGGTAAACATTCTTCCTTATTTCAGGTGCTGGAAACTTGGAGACATGGTTGTAGTCATGTGGCTTGTAGTCTGGAGGGGACGTGGTGCTTGCTTCTTGAAGACTTGCAGACAAGGATTCATTTTCATTGTGCTTGGTGCTGACACAGGTTTGTGTAGCCTGTATGTTCTGGAGTGCACTTCATTTATTAAACAGTCAGCAAGGAGTAACATGAAGTCTTCTTATTTTCTTCTGTCGTATAGCAGTGAACAAAATCCAACTGAACAAAAGCCAACAGTTGTTTGAAAGCTTTAGTGAGCCTGGTAACTAGTAGGACTTACTGAAACAGGTTCCCAGGTTCCATGTCCAAGACAAATGCATCGTACCAGAAGTGAATGCAAGAATTGGAATGCTAGTGCACATGGCCGGGCACTGGTGGCTCATGCTTGTGATCCTAAGCTATTCAGGAGGCCGAGATCTGAGGATCATGGTTCCAAGCCAGCCTGGGCTCTTGGCCAAGTCTGTGAGACTCTTGTCTCCAATTGACTACCAAAAAAAGCTAGAAGGGGAGCTGTGGCTCAAGTGGTAGAGTGCTACCCTTGTGCACAAAAGTTCAGGGACACGGTCAGGCCCTTATTTCAAGCCCAGGACCATGGGGGAAAAAAAAAGGAATACTGGTGCACATGGTTCTGGAATGGCTCTGAGGAGCATTGGATTGCTTTTTTCACATATTTTAAAGATAATATTTAAAGCCAGGTGTGGTGTGGTTGTAGTGGTGTGTGTATAAAATCTAAGGTGAGATAGGAAGACTATGAATTTGAGGCCAACTTGTCCTTAAAAACATGGGGGGAAAATCAGTTTTGGGGGAGGATTAGAAACCAATCATTCTGAGATTGCTAAAGTTAGAATCTACTCAAAAACGGATCTTTTTTGCTGGATGCCTGTGGCCCACAGCTGTAATCCTAGCACCTCAGGGAGCTTAGACCTGGAAGATTAGGTTTTGAAACCAGCTGTGGCAGAAGCATTCTGTAAGACTGCACCTCCAAAATAGCCAGCAAAAAGCCAGGCTGGAAGCCCAGCTCAAGTGGTAGAGCACCAGTTGAGCAAGCTCAAAGTACTGAGTTCAAACTCAAGAACCTGCAGAAATGAATGTGTTTACACTGGATTTATGGGAAAAGCTTTGGAGTGTCTGACCCCCTTCCTCCCCTTGGAAATGGAACGCATGCTTGCTCTAGTGTTTAGTTATTATCTAGGGAGAAGGTATTCGAGTTTACTTTTATTACATTCATTTGTTTGTTTTGGGGGCTGGTCCTGGGGCTTGAATTCAGGGCTTGGGAACTGCCCCTTTGCTCTTTTGCTCAAGATTGGCACCCTACCACTTGCTGCCCCTTTGCTCTTTGCTGAGGATTGGCACCCTACCACCTGAGTTGTAGATCCACTTCCAGCTTTTTTTTGATGGTTAATTGGAGATAAGAATCTCACAGAATTTCCTGCCCAGGCTGGAAGGGTTCGAACCTCAATCCTCAGATTTTAGCCTCCTGATGGGCTCAGATCTTAGGCATGAGCCAACTGCACCTGGCTTTACCTAATTCTTTACCTCTCTCTCTCTCTCTCTCTTTTTCTTGCGCGCGCGCGCGCACGCACGCACACACACACACACACACACACACACACACACACACACACACGCACGGGTCAATGACTACTTTCTGCTTCTTTCCTTTGACATCAGAAGCCGCAGCAGACAGCTAGCCTGAACTTACTTGCTGGACACTGAGGAACACTAATCTAGCATCCCTGCCCTTTGATGTGGGCGCAGTGACATCCTTGCTTAGTGTCCTCATTGCGCCTCTTCAGAATTCTCCTTTGTCTCTCTTTTGAAAGGTGTATCAGAATTTGGAGTGGGCCTTACAGTTGAGATGGAACTCCAACCTAAGTTGCTTCTTTATATCCTCCAAAAACCCTTCTTAGATAAATAACTTCGTCTGTTTTCCAGTGAAAAACACTGAGCATGAGGAAGAGCTGGCGCTCTCTAGGCCTGGTGAGGGGAGAATTTATAGTGTTGCTTTGCAAAGATGGATTAAAGGTGACTAATAAAACTCTTTCCTCTGCCAGTTTAGACTTTTTAAGTGCTGAAGTGGTTGCTTATTTTATTTCAGTAATCACTGCTTTGGCTGAATGCTGGTGTCTGCTACAGGTAGAAAAATAAGCAGGTGAAGAGAGAGATGAATGGTCTAGGGAGGGGTGTGGCCATCTTCCTAGCTTGAGGAAAGCATGCTGGAGAAACAGCTTCTCATCTTCTTCTTTGTAAAAGTTGCATAAAACAACAGCTTCTATATCATGTGTATGACCTGGGCCATCACCCCATGAATGAAGCTCCAGGAAATACATGAATGCCGTTTGTCTGTACTTGAGTTTTCTGATTTCCTCAGTGCCCTCAGCCTTTGCCATGAGTGACCTTTTGACAATTTTCTTGGGGGTTGGAGTGGATGCTGTTTAAAAAAAAAGGTAACCCTTGTGAATTGTGATGTTCCATTCTCACTATGATAGCTTTGTTAAAGGAAAGAATCACATGGCTTGAATTATCTTCTGATTCAGGACTTTGGGTAGGGCTTAGATATGGGAATTGTCTGATACTTTTTTTTTTTTTTAATTGAATGTCAGTATTGGGACCTTGAACTCAGATCTGTGCTCTGTGCTGTCCCTGAGCTTTTTGGGTGAAGGCTGGTGCTCTGCCAACTTGAGCCACAGCTCTACTTTTAGTTTTTGCTGGTTAACGGGAGATAAGAGTCTCACTGACTTTCCTGCCGGGACTGACTTTGAACCCAGTTCTCAGACCTCAGCCTCCAGAGTAGGTAGGATCACAAGTGTGAGCCATCCTGATGTACTCAACTTGTATATTCTTTAAAACATCAGATTAATAATTAGAATCTTTTCCTTGTTTTGGAAATTGTCTCAGTGTCTCTTAAAGTTGGCCAACAGAGGGCTGGGAAGTTGGCTCAGTGGTAGAGTGCTTGCCTCGCATGCATGAGACCCTGGGTTCGATTCCTCAGTACCACATAAGCAGAAAAAAGACGGAAGTGGCATTGTGGCTCAAGTGGTGGAACGCTTGCCTTGAGCTGAAGAGCTGAGGGACAGCGCCCAGGCCCAGAGTTCAGGCCCCACGACTGACCAAAAAAAAAAAAAAGTTGACCAACAGTGAGGCCTGCATACTTATGGCATGTGTAGTTATGGCATGTGTAGTTATAACGTGTAGTTACAGTGTGTGTAGTTACAGATTATGTAGTTATAGTCTGTGTAGTTACACTGTGTGTGTAGTTATAGCATGTGTGGCTATAGCATGTATAGTTACAGTGAGTGTGGTCATGGTGTGTGTAGTTATAGCATGTATAGTTATGAAGTATGTTGTTATGGCATGTGTAGTTTTAGCGTGTGTAGTTATAGAGTGTGTAGTTATGGCCAGTGGAGTGATGGCCTATAGTTGTGGTGTGTGTAGTTACGGTCTGTGGAGTTATGGCCTATGTAGTTACAGTATGTGTAGTTATAGAGTTAGGTGTGTGGAGTTATGACACGTGGAGTTTTGTGGGTTTCTTGTGCACATGACTGCAAATTCACTGCTTGAAGATGTACGGATGTGAAGACTTGGGCGTGTTCACAGCGAGGTCATTTCCTTCTGTCCTCCATATGTGACCCACAGTCACCTGGCTGGTACATAAAGTGTGGAGATACTTAAAATCCCACGAAGATGTGCCATCCAGATGTCTTGAGTGTTTCCTTGGGCTTTACTATCTGGGTTGGCATTGCTTCTCAGGTGACAGGTGAGGGAGCTCTGGCACAGGGGTCTTTGCTGCCACTGTGGGCTGCTGATGGCACTGTGCTGTTTCACAGGCGTTCCTGCTGACCAGAGTGGAAGGGATGAGAAGACAGTATGGAGACCCAGTCCCACAGCTCCGTGACTCCTGAGAAGAAGAAAGCGGAGAATTCTATCGTGAAATGCTCCACCAGGACAGATGTCAGCGAGAAAGCCGTGGCCTCCAGTACCACTTCCAATGGTGAGTGGCCATGGGGCTACTAAATTGCCCTTGCCCGTGACCATGGCCACTTATTTTTCTGTTCTCTTGACAATTTGCATCTGGACCAGTTTTGGTTCTGTGAGATGAGAAAAGAAAGCAAGTAGGGGGCAGAGGGTCTTGGCCGGGAGGGGTGAGCCTTCCTCATTTCTTTTTTGGCATGCAACTCACTTGCTTCCTTCCAAATTTTCTAATTTGGTAGCTTATTTGTGATAGAAAGTTCCTCTTTGGGCATTTTGGGAATTATCTTGATTAGGCTGGCAGAAGTTGAGGATGCATCTACATTTTATTTGGAAAGTCTACTGGTTAGAATACAAGATAAAAAAGTTGTATTGTGATCATCTGTGGCAGGGTCTTCCTCTTGCCACAAATTTTATTTAAGTCACCTACTTTAAAAGAATTTTAAAATTTCATAGCTAATAACTGTGAGAGGTTTTGTTATTGGCATATGTAAATTAGTTGTTTTCGGAGACAATTTTGAATCATGGTTCAATATACTATATATCTTCAGTGTTAAAGAGGAGTATTGAGAGGTGTTTCATTGCAAGCATGGAGCATGGAAAAATAAATTCCAGACCCCTTTGTGGTAAAAACAGACTGAATAGGCTTAGTGGTGACCTTTGCTTCCTTCCAGACTTTCGCACAAGGTAGGCCTTTGCTTTTTGTATATTTCAGATTTCATTCTTGGCTTTCCTGAATTTCACTCTTCTTTTCCATGTGCCTTTAGGAAAAATTAGCTGGCTAGCATTTCTAGTTCTTGGGTGTTGGTTGAGTATAGGGATTCCCTTACTGATTTGTCAGAATCAGCCTGCACCTCTCCCTAAAGTTGTTTTTTTTCCTCTTTTGCTTTCTCATCTCTGGTGCTCTACTACTTGAGCCATATCTCTAGTCCTGCATTTTACTGGTTTATTGGACATGGAGTCTCTCAGAATTGCCTGCACTGACTGGATTTGAACTTGGATCCTCTAGATCTGAGCCTCCTGAGTAGCTAGGATTATAGTTGTGAGCCACCAGTACCCAGCACAGTGAGCTTCTTTACAGGGTATAGTTTTCATCTAATTGCAGAGATGACCATCTAATGTCTCTTTATAGCCTCAGGGGTGTGGGTTGAGGGAACTCTAGAGACCCTCTGTTCTATAGGTTCCTTACCTGGTAGCACACATCCCCTGATCCTACCCTGCAGGCCAGGGGGTGCTCTTTGTGTGTGTGTGTGTGTGTGTGTGGTCTGTTGTGGGGCTTGAACTCTGGGCTTGGGCACTGTCCCTGTGCTCTTCACCTCAAGGCTAGCTCAACTGCTTGAGCCACAGTGCCGCTTCCGGTTTTTCTAGTGGTCTATTGGAGATAAGAGTCAAACGGGTTTTCTGCCCGGGCTGGCTTTGAACCCCTATCCTCAGGTCTCAGCCTCCTGAGTAGCTAGGATTACAGGCGTGAGCCACCGGTGCCCGGCGCTCCTTAAGTTTAGTCTTTCAGAGGTTGGTGCACTGTGTGTGGTACCATTTGTCTACCTGTCCATCCTGTAAACATTCTAGAAATTCTCAGATACCCACATTGTGGCTATCCATTGCAAGGAAAGCAGACGCACTTGAATGCTTTCATAGAAGTTAGCAGATCCCACTTCTGGGGGAGAGGTTCTTACGCTTTCTTTCCAAAGGTCTGACATTTGATTTTGTAACTGGACAGTGAAAAAACTAGTTTAATACCAAGAACCCAAGGAATGTGATTAAAAATAATGTTTTCTCTCTCATTGACCATTTCTCCATGATTAAAATCAACATAAGAAAGTTTTGTTGCTGGCAAAGTGATTGATGAAGTTGACATAATTAACTTTTCCAGCCCTATGTGGGGTAATTTATTCTTGGTTGTAAGCCTTCCAGCCACACATGTACATTCCACTGCCTGTCCTTACAGGCCTGTCCTTTGGCTTTCCTCCGCTCAGTTTCTGCTCCTAGATAACACTTAGAGTTTTGTTTAAACATATGCATAGCACTGCCAAAATGTATGCTTCAAAACCCTTCAACAGTATTGTACAACTAGTGATCACTCTGAAAGACTGAAATTTAGTATAATATTGGTGACAAATTGCTTTCTAAATCTTGAATGGAAGGCCAGTCACTGTTGGTGACATTTTAGAACTTAGTGTGTGGGCTTTACATGGAAACAGCATAGTATGCATACTTCCTTGTGTGTGCTTTAGTTTTAAGCTTTAGTGTTTTTTAGGAAACAGAAATGACAAAGGAGATGACATTTAGTTTTCTGAATTAATTTTTCAGTGCAATTGTGATTTAAGTGGTCCCTTTTGATATCCAGTGTGGTGGCTTTCATATATAAAATGTACGTTCAGCCATTGGTTTATTTAGGGATATTCAAGTCTGTTAATATGCTAAGACTCTCAAGTAAAATACCTTAATGGTCTGGGTGGTTGATTTGGATTCTTCACTAGCTAAGCTATATGTTCTGTTTTCTAAACGATACAGGTTGTTGTCAATTTATGTCTTCCAGAGTTTTATGCATTCGCATTCCCATTCATACAAAATAATATCTTTCCACCACTTGCAAATATTGAATCTTTAGTTTGAAATGTGTTACCCCTATTTTGGGCCCATACTTTTTTTTTGTTTTTTTGTTTTTGGATCCGGTCATGGGCCTGAACTCTGAGCCTGGGCACTGCCCCTCAGCTCTTCAGCTCAAGGCAGACGCTCTACCATTTGAGCCACAGCGACACTTCGGGCTTTTTTTTTTTTGCTTATGGGTGCTGAGGAATCGAACCCAGGGCCTCAAGCTTGCAAGGCAAGCGCTTTACCACTGAGCCACCTTCCCAGCCCCCCATAATTTTTTTTAAAGAAGTAATTTGATAGTTCTTATTAACCTGCTCCTCAGCTTTAAGAAAGGAACTCATTATAAATGATACAGACAGTAGTCGCCTAAGGATCTTTGTTGGATCTGCTGGTTATTGACGACTTGCCGTGGTGATAGCAGCGATTGCTGTCCTATGGTGACACATGTGAAACCGGAATTGTGCCCCACTCATCTCTCAAGTCTGCTTGGAAGAGTTCAGTTATCTGCTTAAATGTGCTTAGAGAGAGGGAAGGGATGGGATGGATCCATTTTATGGTCTAGGACCACATCAGGAGCTTGCTTGCTTGTTTGTTTTGTTTTACTTTGTTTACTTTCTAGATTTCAAATTGTCCATGATTAGTCTATTTGTGTGGATCTCCTGAATGGAGTGGGAGGTGCAAGTGGATCTGGGTTTCGTTGAAAGCTTGAAATTTGTGGCTGTTTTCCACCCTGGATCCATCTCTTTGACCTGTGTTGTACCCTAAGTCTAGATGCTGAATGCTATTTGGAACTGACCTGGATAGTGAGTTTTACATTAGATGGTGAACACCCTTTTTCCTTGTCCTCCAAGTCCCCTCCTGTCACATGGCAGATAAGTGGGAGGGAGTTTCAGATGTGATAGATACACACACAAGCTTGAGTTGAGTTTTGGCAATACCCAGGACCAGCTGTGGAAGCATGAACTCTGTCCCAGAGTTTCCTTATCCGTTGAATAGGGTGACAGTTCTGCCTACTTTTGGGACATGTGGAGGGAAGAGCATTAAGAGTGGCGGTATTTATGTGGGCACATCCTGTCTTGTACAAACCCCCACACCCACCAACTTTCTTTGACTCTTTCCTCTTCTTGGTCTCTTTCTTCCTTTTTCCTTCTTCTTTATTTTTCCCTCTTAGTTGTGGAAAGTTGCATTCCATCCCAATTATGAAATCTTTGGAGACCATTCCACATGGCTCAGTGCAAGCAGTCCTTCTCTGTGGAGGTGTATGGCCACATACTGGTGTATGTAACAGTAAGAACTCTTCCAAGGCCACCCAGTGTCACAAACATGTTGCAGAGTGAAAAATAGGATTGATCCCAAAACAACGGATTGTGTTTTCTTGACAGTACACCCAAGTTATGAAATTTGGGGGAAAATGTTTGGCAAAAAGTTAGAATGAGTTGGCTGACTCAGATGTCTTAAAAAAATAGTTGAAGATGTTTCTCAAATCTCCATGTGACTAAGTTTGCTCATCTTAAGGAAGAATTGATCAAAACCAAAAAACAATACTACCTACATAGTCGTTTCTCTACCCTCCTTGTAGGTAAGTTCATTCTTCAATCAGATAATGGGAAAAATAATTAGAAGGAAATTTATTTAGATTTCCTTCACATGGAATATGCACACTGTGCTGATTATGTATCTTACAATGGAAATAGCATATTTACATACAGCTTTACATCTCTTTCCTTGATCTCCCCTTTCCCTCCCTGGGGTCAGCAATTTCCTTTCAGGTTATAATGGCCATTTCTAGGGGGTGGTTTGTGCAATAGTAGAGTCAGGATTGATTTTCTACGTTTAAGAGCTTTCTTTCATGTTTTTAAACCAACTAAAGATGATTAATCTGATACTCACAAGAATTCTGACTTGAGCTCCAAACACTCTTACCGGGAATCCTGGCTTCCAGTGTCTTCTTTATTTTTGTTAAGCAGATCCTCTTTCCTGTGGTCACCCAGGCTTGAAACCTCACTGTCACCTTTGACCCCTCCCTTTCTCATGCTTCCTGTGTCCTGCCACTTTTGAGGTCTTGGTAGATTTTCCTCTATAATTATTCATCCATGAGTCCCTTCAGGGCACCCGGCACTATTTAAATCTTCCCAGCTGGTTGCCTGGGCAATTAAGGAGAACTTCCAGTCCCTCACCTTGCCATTCATTGCCTCTCTCTTCCGCATTGGACACACACCTGCCAAATTAGTGTCATTATGGGTCTAGTTAGGCCACTCCCCTGCTCTAGAATCTTCAGTGACTTCTGCCTACCTACAGACTAATCATCTTATGTCTGACTGTCCAGTCTGATAGGCTACCTTTCTCCTGTACCACCTCCTAAAAGTACACCTTGATTACAATGAGGCTCCTGGCTGTGTGTGTGTGTGTGTGTGTGTGTGTGTGTGT